GGGGGTGGAGATCGGTGCCGTCGTGGGGGGGGGTTCCACGTCCTCCTCTCCACTTCTTGGAATCAGTGACCGCGCTGGCCTGGCCGCCGGGCTGAAGCCCTCCGAGACCCAAGAGACCAGTTCGAGTTTCCTCCGAGAAAATAAAGCGCCCAAGCATGGAGGGGAGGGACTCCCCCGTCCTTGGGATCGGCCAGGTGAGCCGAGCTCGGGGGGGGGGGTCTCCTGGGAATCTGCACCCGGGAAGGCTCGAAACGCCCACTGTTCAGACCCGCGCCCCCGTGTCAGCTGAACGTGGCTCTTAAACATCGGTTGTGTTGCGGGGTTGTTGCCGTCGGAGCCCTCAGCCGAGGCTTGAAGAAAATTGACACCGCACCTGAAGGATGGCGTCGATGGCCGTCTCTTAACTCGCGTGCGTGATGAGAGAATTTTTCCAGAAACAGACACAGACCAGGATTATAAGTTTAAGGACTTATAAATGAATTCCAGTTGAAATAAGATACGTGTTTAATCATCTGCTCTTAGTAGAATACAAAACAACTTTTGTTTTAATTCAGCTTAGGCTCACTGAACCCCTGAAACTTTAAAGTTCTTCGAATGCATTTGAAGTCATGTATAAAACCCACGGATTGGTCGATTTTCTTTTTTTTCCCCCCCCTCTCTGGTGCCTGAATCAGGAAGTTTGGTTATTTTTATAGATTTTTTTTTTCTAACCCTAAACTTTCGTTTCGGGGTTTGCAAAGTCTGAGTTCCTGAAATCAGAGTTTATTGGCTTTTGTTGAATGAGAATAATCAGAGCATGAAAATAATTTTATAATATATTCATTGAAATCCAAAAGATTATCAGTTCCCTTCATCTTTTTCTTTGTTTACTTACTTATTTATTTATTTTTAAGGGGATGGGAGAGTCTCCCTGTGTTGCCCAGCCTGGTAGTGTTAAACTCTTGGCCTCCAGCGATCCTCCTGCCTTGGCCTCTCAAAGTGCTGGGATTACAGGTGTGAGCCATCTTGCCCGACCCTATTCCCTTCATCTTAATACACAAAGTGTATACTGTAACCTATGAATTATACTATAAAGTGGATATAAGGTAAATATAGTAGACACAGTTGACGCAGCATTTTTTGGGCTCAGAAACTGTGACCAAAAACTATTCCTTATTTGTGTGTTGCCTTAATAGAGGACAATTTTTAGAGATTTCAGAAATTTGAAGGCTAAAAGTGTTACATTTATAATGAGATTGCTACTATTTAAATGATCCTGAAGATGATAGGGCAGGAGGCGTGGGGTGCTGACTAAGTGTGTAAACAAAGCATTCTTACTGCTAGACTCTTATGCCTGGGAGGAGTAACTCCTCTGATGGCTGTCACTAAGAAAAAATTGTTTAATTGAGGAGCGCAAATAATTGCAAATTTCAGGCAGATCTAAGTATCTCCTGGGGTATAGAAATACCCTGCCCTCCAAGAACATAGCCATATTTATCTTCCCAGTCTGAGATGGATATCAATTTGAGATAAAGCAAGTTTTTGTTTTGTTTTGTTTTGATTTTCTCACTTCTTCCTGACTTGGATTTTTAGTGATGACTCCTTACGGTGCTACAGATGTTAACCACTTGGGCATGTATTACCCAAAAAAGGCAGGAGGGAGAAATTGTGGATCTCATCATTTCAGTTATGCATATTTGTAACATAAAGCAGTGTAAGTCATTTCCAGTTTTGAAAATTATACACCAACGATCAGTTTTCCTTATTGTTTTCCATTCCCAGATGTCTGAAAGCATATTAAAAGCTCACTAAACCGGGCTCGGTAGCTCAGCCTGTAATCCCGCACCTTTGGGAGGCTGAGGTGAGTGGATTGCCTGAGCCCGTGGGTTCGAGACCCGTCTGGGCAGTGAGACCTCATCTCTACAATAAATCAAAAAATCAACCGGGCGTGGTAGTGCATGCCTGTAATTCCGGCTACTTGGAAGGCTGAGGCAAAGGATCGCCGGAGCCCAGCAGGTCGAGGCTGCGGTGGCCGGGAATGGCCACTGCACTCCAGTCTGGGCAACAGAGTGAGACTCCAACTCAAAAAAAAAAAAAAGCTCACTAAATGTTTTTTGATTGATTTTAATTACTATTTCCTTGTTAATGTTTTTTGTTTTAATGTCAAGTTGTGGGGTTAGAATTTACCGCACCAGACAAGTTTGCATAACCTATGAAGGAGGGAAGGCTGCTGCCCATACTTTGGCTGTGATGGAAATGCGTACTGAATTTTTACATTTGCAGGTCTGATTGGAAGCCTGAAAAACCTTTCACCGCCTCCTCATTGAGTTCTTCCCTCTCCCACCGCCTCCCACAAATTTTAAAGGAAATGAAAACAATTTAAGCTTTCTATGACAAAAATCTACTGGCAGTGTTGGTGAATCTGATGCTTTTAAAAAGAGATATCCTTTATGTTACCTAGCATTTTACATATAGACAAATGTTACTAATAGAAACACAACCTAACCAGGCGCATTTACAGAAACCATCTGCAAATGATACTTTATGACCTGTTGGTATGGATTTTAGATTTTTTTTAAACCCAAATTTCTCCAACTTTGAAATGAAGGAGTACATTCTTCAGAGAAAGGGGGGATTATAAAGTAGTGTGAGCCTCTGTGTACAGATTCAAATATCCTTAAATGTATGCTGTTTACACATTTTGCTAAGTTATCTAAAATGTATACTTAGGCAAATGATTACTGAAGATCTATGCTGTCTCCCGGGAGGGTGTGTGTTTTACTACTTCACAAAACAAATGACATGATAATAAGCCCCCAGATGTCAAGCAATGCTACTGCTGCTAATTAGAGTTCAGCCAAAGATTCCTGCCCTCCCCACACTTAGGCTATATAGTATGCCCATAATTTGCCCTCAAAAACTTGCTTGTGATTGTGCATGGTTTTCTGATGAGTAGTACATGCTTTAGTGGTAGAAGAGGAAGTTCAAGAAAACCCTTAATTAAGAGTAGCTACAACCTTCCTAGAAGAACTGTTAAAGATGTAGGAAGCTGAGGAAGGACGGGTGTGGTGTCATTCAGGGTTGTCCTACCTGTGTGAATCTTGCTAGGCAGTGAGTGAAGGGGTGTCTCCCCAAGGAGGCGTGCCCAAACAACTCTCTTTAAAATTGAAGGCAATTCCATCCATCTCCAAGCCACACCTTAGGCTATGTTATCTTCCCCTGCCCCCCAACCATGACACTACCTTAGAATATACTGTATGATTTATTTATTTACTGTGTTTCTCTCTCTTGCCACCCCCAATTAAAATGTGAGCTCCACAAGGCAACCGGCTTTATTTTGTTGTATTCCAAGCACATAGAACAGTTCCTAGCATATAGCAGGCGTGCATATTTGCTGAATGAATGGACATCCATCCAGTTAATTTATTAAGTTTTCTATGCTCCTTACTCCCTCCTATGATAACTTTTGAATGTTTTGAATGAATGTTTTATTTCACTCTAAAGATCAGCCTTGGAGGTGCGTATGGATTTTGTTTGCTTGTGAACCATTTTTAGATTGAGAAACTGAGACCTAGAGTATATGAGTGACTGGCTTCCACAACCCATTTACCATGAGAGCCTTTGTATCATCATTTGGTTTCTAGTGACCAGAAGATACACAAACTAAATGCATGTTCGTAATTTGGTGATCTAAGGTGTCACCAAAACTATGTCATTCTGTTAATTCATCATCATTGGCATGTTTGGACAGACCTCTTAATAAGAAAATTTGATACTTTTGTTCTTTCACTGGGTAAAGCAAGCAATCTTGGCATGTGTCCTAGGGCTTATTTATGTAATTTTTTAAAATTATTATTTTCTTGGGTTTAATGTGGGCTAATTGAAAGTCCTGCCTGGTTGATTTCCAGTGTGGACAACAACGTACAGAGGTAGCATGTGGAACTTTAAAATGCCTTTCTAAGAACCCTCTCCTAGGTATGTCTGTTGCTGTTGCTGTAGCTGATATCTCAGTCTCTCCCATAGCACTATCATCTTCAGGTGTGCTGAAGATACAGTGGGATTTGCAGAAGCCCAGACAGCTTGCTCTTGACTCTATGATGACTAAAAAAGAGACATTAAGAATCAGGTGCGAGCGAACAACAGGGTTGCCAGGTATTGAATATTAAATAGAAGGGCCTAGTACTGTAGCTTTTTTATCTGGTAAAATGAAAATATAAAGCCAAACAATAGATTTTCTTTGTCTAAGCATTTTTTTCTTGATTGGGAAAAGGATATAAAACTGTGATAACATTGCTATGCAACAGCTTGCAGACAGGGTGGCACCTCTTGATCAGGTGACAGCATTCACAAGTTTATATTTGTGACATTATTTCAGTATTGGCCATTAAGTCTTGCCTTGCACAGACCTGCAAGGGAAATCTATGTGCATGGGATTACAACAAATTGTATTTTTGTTTTCTTCACATTCTACAAAACTATTTATTCTACAGTTAAGAAAAAAATTATTATAAAATCTACACAAACAGTTTAACTTATCTGTCGATACATGTAAATATGTTTTATTTATTTATTTATTTATTTATTTTTTTTTTGAGTTGGAGTCTCACTCTGTCACCCAGACTGGAGTGCTATGACCGCTCCCGGCCACCGCCGCCTCGACCTGCTGGGCTCCGGCGATCCTTCCACTTCAGCTTTCCAAGTAGCCGGAATTACAGGCATGTGCTATCAGGCCCGGCTGATTTTTTGATTTATTGTAGAGATGAGGTCTCGCTGCCCAGGTGGGTCTCGAACCCGCGGGCTCAGGCAATCCACTCACCTCAGCCTCCCAAAGGCGCGGGATTACAGGCTGAGCCACCGAGCCTGGCTGTAAATATGTTTTGAATTTTTTTGAACTACAATATACATAAAGATGTGCTTAAGTGTACATAGCTTACTAAATTGTCACAAACTGAACATACCTGTGTAACTAGCACCCAGGTCAGGTAGCAGACCATGACCCCTCCCAGTCAATGCCCCCCTCCCAGAATGGCGCTCTCCTGACTTCTAATGGCATTCAGTAGTATGGACTATTTTGTCTGTCTGCTTTTACCTAGTGTGTGTGTGTGTGTGTGTGTGTGTGTGAGATTCACCCCTGTTGTTGGAATAATTATGGTTAGTTTATTTTTGTCACCATGTGGGATTCCGTTATGTGAATATATCACAATTTATCCTTCTC